TAGGTCATCTTGTAGCCTCCTACTATCATCCTCAGTTTCAATCCTCCTCTTAATTTTTGCATCATCGGCAAACATTGAGAGAAACGATTCTATACCCTCTGGGAGATCATTATGTGTTAATACATTGTTCACATCATGTGCTGTATAATATCTGCAATTTTGATCATTAAATTGATGATTGTCATAGATACTGGATAAGAGGTTTAGTTCTGGGGCTATACTTGTTTGCATAAAAGGGCTAGTTGCAGTAAAACACACATAGGCAATAAAGGCAATTACAAAATAAACAAATTTTGATATAAAAGGTGGGGAAAAATAAAAATATATACAAGACTATACAAGACAAACTCGAAACGAACAATAAAATGAGGTAGAGTGCCTAGAAGTACTCTCAGGTACACTGTAAGTAATAATTTGCATTTTGAGACACAGGCAAAGCCAGGGGTACAATGGAGTAAGGGAGTATGGCGAGGCTAGGCAACCTAGGTAATAATGAAAGCAAAGAAAAAAATTGAATAATAAACATAGGCAAATTTAATCTTAATGATAATTAACTATAAATAGTTTAGTTATGATCCTATAATTAATAAGAACTAAAACAAATGTTAATATACTCAATAAAGTCCAATAAATGACTAATATAAATTAAATTAAAATTTAAATTAAATAACAGTGTAACAAAGAGACTATGGTTACCTCCCCCGCACTAGGTGACAAGGGGGGTTAATTATGTTGAGTCATTGAGAGGGATAATGAGGTGAGACAAACCCCCATTGGGTGAGGAAAGTGTTGAGGTTATCCTCATTAGCAATTGTAAACATTTTACCTGCAGAAGTCTTTATCAGATAATTGTCTTATTATTTTTTCAAGCACATGCCATTTACACAAAAATTTGATAATTTTGTATTTACTAAATACTACGAAGATAAATTTACCCAAATAAAGAGCAACATTAAAAAAACTTGGAGCACAATTTCACAAATATTGGGATCAAAGAAGATTTTAAATAACAAACCAACACTCCCGTCCAATAACGATGGTCAGCTTTCAGCCTCTGATTCTGCTATTGAGTTCAATAGGTTCTTCTCTTCCATTGGGTCATCACTTGCAAATGATATTCCATCTTCCAGTACTGATGTTAAGGACTATCTTACAGGTAACTATCCACAGTCTCTGTACCTAAAGCCTAGTAATTCTACTGACGTTAATGAGATAATCCTTTCCCTTAAAACCAAGTCTAGTGCCCTTGAAAAGATACCAACTTTAATTTACAAAAAAAGCCTCCAGATCTTTAGCCCCTGCTATTGCATTGCTCTTCAACAAGTCACTTCAACTCCAAACCTTTCCAGATATTCTAAATAAAAAGTGAGAGTAACCCCTGTCCACAAATGTGGTGATCTCACAGATGTTAACAACTACAGACCTATATCACTCCTGCCTAACTTGTCAAAAATATTTGAAAAACTAATCTACAAGCAGCTTTACTCTTATCTAGCCAAACTCAATATACTTAGCTCGTGTCAATATGGCTTCAGACCCAAAAAAAAGCACTAACGATGCACTTATTAGTATGATTAACTTGATTCATGCAGCTCTTGATAAAAATGAGTTCCCTGTTGGGTTATTTGTGGACCTGCGTAAGGCTTTTGACACTGTCAACCACCAAAACCTTCTTCTTAAATTACATCATTATGGAGTCAGAGGACACTCCCTGCAATACCTCAAATCTTACCTTACTGACAGGCTCCAGTATGTTTCTGTGAATAATTCAATTTCTCCCACCCTACCCATCAACATTGGTGTTCCTCAGGGCAGCATACTTGGCCCTCTCCTCTTTCTCATCTACATTAATGACCTTCCAAATGCCTCCCAACACCTCAAACCAATTCTATTTGCTGACGACACAACCTTCATTTACTCCAGTCCTGATCCCCTTGCTTTAAATGCCACAGTAAATACTGAGCTAAATAAAGTCCATCTTTGGCTAACTGCCAACAAACTCACCCTTAACATTGACAAAACTTTCTATATTCTGTTTGGCAATAAATTCTCTAATCAAATAAATCTCAGAATAAACAATACCCAAATTTGTAACAAAATAGATGGCAAATTCCTTGGCGTTCTCATTGACCACAAGCTGAATTTCCAGGGACACATTCTAAATATATCAAAAAAAGTTTCAAAAACTGTTGGCATTCTTTCTAAGATCAGATATTATGTACCCCGCCCTGCCCTGGTGACTCTCTATTACTCCCTCATCTATTCATATCTCAACTATAGTATTTGTGCTTTGGGTTCTACTACCCAAAATCATTTACGTCCTCTAATTACTCAACACAAAGCTGATATTAGGACAATATCCACCTCTGGCCCCAGACATCACTCGGTACCCTTACTCAAATCTCTGAATATGTTAGATATTAAGTCACTGCACATTCTCTCATGTGTATTATACATATATAAAATGCTAACTGTAATGCCAATCCTGACCTCAAAAGCTTCATTGAAGGTTGTAACAGAACCCATGAGCACCACACCAGAAACACATACAGTTTCGCACATACAGTTTAATATTGTCATCATGGCTCGCAGAGGTCAATATTAAAGTCCCCTGCGATAATTAGATGGTTTTTGTTCAGTCTGTTATCTAGAATTAGGTTTCTAAGGGTTGAGTTGAATTCGGACACATCAGTGTTAGGAATTCTATAGACTGCACCCACAGACAGGACAGACTCGGCACCCTTGACTCTGAAACTAGCGAAGATATACTCCCCACAGCAGTCTCTAGTTCTAATTACTTTTAAACATATTAGTTCTTGTTGGTAGTAAAGAGCAGTACCACCACCTCTCTGAATTTGACGACAGTTGTGAATTGCCGAGTAGTTAGGCATGTTAAAGAGTTGAGTATTATCCTCTTTTAACCACGTTTCAGTAAGTATAATAAAAGAGAATTTGTTGTCAATAGTTTCAATCAAGGCACTAACATCATCGAAGTGTTGGCCTAGGGATCTAACGTTCAAGTTGATTACAGAGATATTGTGATTATGTGTTAATACATTATTTACATCATATGCTGTAAAATATCTGTAATTTTGATCATTAAAGTGATGATTGTCATAGATAGTGGATAAGAGGTTTAGTTCTGGGTCTATACTTGTCTGCATAAAAAGGCTGTTTGCAGGAAAACAAGGCAAGAATGGCATTTACAAAATAGAATTTTTATATAAAAGAAGGAAAAAATATATATACACGATTATACAGAACAAACACAAAATAAACAAAAAAAGAAAAATGAGGAAGCTTACAAGGGGCTTACAGGTACTCTCAGGTACACTGTAAGTAATAATTAGCATTTTGAGACACAGGCAAAGCCAGGGGTACAATGGAGTAAGGGAGTATGGCGAGGCTAGGCGAAGATCGGGCCGCGGGGGACACTAAAGCCCCGAAATCATCTCAAGATAACTCAAGAAGAAGAAGGGGTACAATGGAGTAAGGGAGTATGGCGAGGCTAGGCAACCTAGGTAATAATGAAATCAAAGAAAAAAGTTGAATAATAAACATAGGCAAATTTAAGCTAAAGATTATTAACTATAAATAGTTTAGTTATGATCCTATAATTAATAAGATCTAAAGAAATATTAAAGCACTCAGTTAATTAAGTCCAATAAATGACTAGTAAAAAGTAAATTAAAAATTAATTTAAAAAGTGAAACAAAGAGACTTAGGATACCTAGCCCGCACTAGGTGACAAGGGGGGGTTAATTATGTTGACTCATTGAGAGTGATAATAAGGTGAGACAAGCCACATTGGGTGAGCAAAGTGTTGAGGTTATCCTCATTAGCAATTATAAACATTTTACCTACTGAAGTCTTTCTCACTTTAATCAAGCCATCTCTGACGAAGCACTGATGAATCGCATCTGGGGTTTGATGACGGATTTGACGCAGGCGGTAGAGGAGTTGCTGTCTTTTTCTAGTCAATCACTCGTTGATGTAGATTCCCTGTCGTTGACATGCAGCTGTCCGGACAAGATGGGATTTCATGGACTGGGAAGCCAGCTTCAGGCGAATCTTCCGCTGGTTTTGTCCAGATGAAGACATTAACACATAACATTAGTGTTCTTATATAATAACACAAGAATGAAGTTAACTGCAGAATGCCTATTGGCCCATACGAGGCAGCTCTTAGCTATATCCAGCCAATCTCATAAGAACATACATGCTTGCAAAGCTACTACAAGCATAGCGTTTAGTGCAGTCACTGATATATATAAGGCCATACACAGCATACACTGGAATAATATGCCTTACAGCATATATACTGGAATAATATGCTACACAGCATATGGCATAACATGCATATAATATATGCCCATCACTGGCTTAATATACTACACAAACATTCTGTTGAGAAGATTTATTTGCTGCTAAAAATATGGAAAACCCCGTCGCAATAGTGGCGGGAGCCTGGGGCTTCCCGGGTGTGGCGTGACCTCACGGCCAGCACTGCGCGCCAGGAACCATCCCCTTCACTGCACCTCCATCACTGTTTATGTTACACACACCTAAATCTGCGTATTTATGTTTGTAGGTTAAATTAATATTTTAAAAGCACTACAATCATCACCTTCTGTGGTTAATTGTTCAATAAATCACTGAATTATATGTTTAAGAGATCTCTAACCCTGTACATGGAGGACAGAAGGAAATGTATATGATGGTTAGGATTGTAAATGTGTAGCTACGTTTGTGATTGAAAAAAAAACTTCTCACGTTTTCAAATGTGATATAATTGTGATACTGTGATATAACTGTGATAGTATCATATATGTGATTGAGATTTTCTCACAAAATACCATTACATGCAAAAATCTTAAATGGATGAATATAGTTTACGAACACATATTAATAAAATGTAAATGAATATTAGGATGATGAGCGTCAAGTGGAAGTGTGTGGCATCCTTGTGAGTGGGTGTTGGGACCCACATATAACCACAGCGAGGAGTGATGGTGCCACCACACGGTAACTGGCACCCAGAGCAGGCACACTAGCAACACTCTCCTCCTGCAGGACAACAACAGCAAGATGAACCATCGTGTGGTAGTGAGTCTGGTGGTGGTGGGGCTGCTGGCCGCCTCCTTCACCCCACAGTCCCACGCCCAGGTCCTGGAGGGTCTGGCAGCGGCTGTCACCGGTAAACTTGCTGGGTGAGCAATTATCTTTTATAACTTGGTTTATTTCGTATGAAGAACAAACACACATACACGTGTATATATGTTCTTATATAAAGTGTCAGCGTGCATCACGTGTCAGCATGCATCACGTGTTAGTGTGCATCACGAGTCAGCATGCATCACGTGTCAGCATGCATCACGTGTCAGCATGCATCACGTGTCAGCATGCATCACGTGTCAGTGTGCATCACGAGTCAGCATGCATCACGTGTCAGCATGCATCACGTGTCAGTGTGCATCACGTGTCAGCATGCATCACGTGTCAGCATGCATCACGAGTCAGCATGCACCACGTGTCAGTGTGCATCACGTGTTAGTGTGCATCACGTGTCAGCATGCATCACGTGTCAGCATGCATCACGTGTCAGTGTGCATCACGTGTCAGCATGCATCACGAGTCAGCATGCATCACGAGTCAGCATGCGTCACGTGTCAGCATGCATCACGTGTCAGCATGCATCACGAGTCAGCATGCATCACGTGTCAGCATGCATCACGAGTCAGCATGCATCACGAGTCAGTGTGCATCACGTGTCAGCATGCATCACGAGTCAGCATGCATCACGTGTCAGCATGCATCACGAGTCAGCATGCATCACGAGTCAGCATGCATCACGTGTCAGCATGCATCACGTGTCAGTGTGCATCACGTGTCAGCATGCATCACGTGTCAGTGTGCATCACGTGTCAGCATGCATCACGTGTCAGCATGCATCACGTGTCAGCATGCATCACGTGTCAGCATGCATCACGTGTCAGTGTGCATCACGTGTCAGTGTGCATCACGTGTCAGTGTGCATCACGTGTTAGTGTGCATCACGTGTTGCAGTGTGCATCACGTGTCAGCATGAATCACGTGTCAGCATGCATCACGTGTCAGTGTGCATCACGTGTCAGTGTGCATCACGTGTCAGTGTGCATCACGTGTCAGTGTGCATCACGTGTCAGTGTGCATCACGTGTCAGTGTGCATCACGTGTCAGTGTGCATCACGTGTCAGCATGCATCACGTGTCAGTGTGCATCACGTGTCAGTGTGCATCACGTGTCAGTGTGCATCACGTGTCAGTGTGCATCACGTGTCAGCATGCATCACGTGTTAGTGTGCATCACGTGTCAGCATGCATCACGTGTCAGCATGCATCACGTGTCAGTGTGCATCACGTGTCAGTGTGCGTCACGTGTCAGTGTGCATCACGTGTCAGTGTGCATCACGTGTCAGTGTGCATCACGTGTCAGCATGCATCACGTGTCAGCATGCATCACGTGTCAGTGTGCATCACGTGTCAGTGTGCATCACGTGTCAGTGTGCATCACGTGTCAACATGCATCACGTGTCAGTGTGCATCACGTGTCAGTGTGCATCACGTGTCAGCATGCATCACGTGTCAGCATGCATCACGTGTCAGTGTGCATCACGTGTCAGTGTGCATCACGTGTCAGTGTGCATCACGTGTCAGCATGCATCAAGTGTCAGCGTGCATCACGTGTTAGTGTGCATCACGTGTCAGCATGCATCACGTGTCAGTGTGCATCACGTGTCAGTGTGCATCACGTGTCAGCATGCATCACGTGTCAGCATGCATCACGTGTCAGTGTGCATCACGTGTCAGCATGCATCACGTGTCAGCATGCATCACGTGTCAGCATGCATCACGTGTTAGTGTGCATCACGTGCCAGTGTGCATCACGTGTCAGCATGCATCACGTGTCAGCATGCATCACGTGTCAGCATGCATCACGAGTCAGCATGCATCACGTGCCAGCATGCACCACGTGTCAGCAAGCATCACGTGTCAGTGTGCATCACGTCACAGTGTGCATCACGTGTCAGTGTGCATCAAGTGTCAGTGTGCATCACGTGTCAGCATGCATCACGTGTTAGTGTGCATCACGTGTCAGTGTGCATCACGTGTCAGTGTGCATCACGTGTCAGTGTGCATCACGTGTCAGCATGCATCACGTGTCACTGTGCATCACGTCACAGTGTGCATCACGTGTCAGTGTGCATCACGTGTCAGTGTGCATCACGTGTCAGCATGCATCACGTGTCAGCATGCATCACGAGTCAGTGTGCATCACGTGTCAGTGTGCATCACGTGTCAGTGTGCATCACGTGTCAGCGTGCATCACGTGTCAGTGTGCATCACGTGTTAGCATGCATCACGTGTCAGTGTGCATCACGTGTCAGTGTGCATCACGTGTCAGTGTGCATCACGTGTCAGTGTGCATCACGTGTCAGTGTGCATCACGTGTCAGTGTGCATCACGTGTCAGTGTGCATCACGTGTCAGTGTGCATCACGTGTCAGCATGCATCACGAGTCAGTGTGCATCACGAGTCAGTGTGCATCACGAGTCAGTGTGCATCACGTGTCAGTGTGCATCACGTGTCAGTGTGCATCACGTGTCAGTGTGCATCACGTGTCAGTGTGCATCACGTGTCAGTGTGCATCACGTGTCAGTGTGCATCACGTGTCAGTGTGCATCACGTGTCAGCATGCATCACGAGTCAGTGTGCATCACGTGTCAGTGTGCATCACGTGTCAGTGTGCATCACGTGTCAGTGTGCATCACGTGTCAGTGTGCATCACGAGTCAGTGTGCATCACGTGTCAGTGTGCATCACGTGTCAGTGTGCATCACGTGTCAGTGTGCATCACGTGTCAGTGTGCATCACGTGTCAGTGTGCATCACGTGTCAGTGTGCATCACGTGTCAGTGTGCATCACGTGTCAGCATGCATCACGTGTCAGCATGCATCACGTGTCAGCATGCATCACGTGTCAGTGTGCATCACGTGTCAGTGTGCATCACGTGTCAGTGTGCATCACGTGTCAGCATGCATCACGTGTCAGCATGCATCACGAGTCAGTGTGCATCACGAGTCAGTGTGCATCACGTGTCAGTGTGCATCACGTGTCAGTGTGCATCACGTGTCAGTGTGCATCACGTGTCAGTGTGCATCACGTGTCAGTGTGCATCACGTGTCAGTGTGCATCACGTGTCAGCATGCATCACGTGTCAGCGTGCATCACGTGTCAGTGTGCATCACGTGTCAGTGTGCATCACGTGTCAGTCAGTGTGCATCACGTGTCAGTGTGCATCACGTGTCAGCATGCATCACGTGTCAGCATGCATCACGTGTCAGTGTGCATCACGTGTCAGTGTGCATCACGTGTCAGTGTGCATCACGTGTTAGTGTGCATCACGTGTCAGCATGCATCACGTGTCAGTGTGCATCACGTGTCAGCATGCATCACGTGTTAGCATGCATCACGTGTTAGCATGCATCACGTGTCAGTGTGCATCACGTGTCAGTGTGCATCACGTGTTAGTGTGCATCACGTGTCAGCATGCATCACGTGTCAGTGTGCATCACGTGTCAGCATGCATCACGTGTCAGCATGCATCACGTGTCAGCATGCATCACGTGTCAGTGTGCATCACGTGTCAGCATGCATCACGTGTTAGCATGCATCACGTGTTAGCATGCATCACGTGTCAGTGTGCATCACGTGTCAGTGTGCATCACGTGTCAGTGTGCATCACGTGTCAGCATGCATCACGTGTCAGTGTGCATCACGTGTCAGCATGCATTACGTGTCAGCATGCATCACGTGTCAGCGTGCATCACGTGTCAGCGTGCATCACGTGTCAGCATGCATCACGTGTCAGCATGCATCACGTGTCAGTGTGCATCACGTGTCAGCATGCATCACGTGTCAGTGTGCATCACGTGTCAGCATGCATCACGTGTCAGTGTGCATCACGTGTCAGTGTGCATCACGTGTCAGTGTGCATCACGTGTCAGCATGCATCACGTGTCAGTGTGCATCACGTGTCAGCATGCATCACGTGTCAGCATGCATCACGAGTCAGCATGCATCACGAGTCAGCATGCGTCACGTGTCAGCATGCATCACGTGTCAGCATGCATCACGAGTCAGCATGCATCACGTGTCAGCATGCATCACGTGTCAGCATGCATCACGTGTCAGCATGCATCACGTGTCAGCATGCATCACGTGTCAGTGTGCATCACGTGTCAGTGTGCATCACGTGTCAGCATGCATCACGTGTCAGTGCATCACGTGTCAGCATGCATCACGTGTCAGCATGCATCACGTGTCAGTGCATCACGTGTCAGCATACATCACGTGTCAGCATGCATCACGTGTCAGCATGCATCACGTGTCAGTGTGCATCACGTGTCAGTGTGCATCACGTGTCAGCATGCATCACGTGTCAGCATGCATCACGTGTCAGCATGCATCACGTGTCAGCATGCATCACGTGTCAGCATGCATCACGTGTCAGTGTGCATCACGTGTCAGCATGCATCACGTGTCAGTGTGCATCACGTGTCAGCATGCATCACGTGTCAGCATGCATCACGTGTCAGTGTGCATCACGTGTTAGTGTGCATCACGTGTCAGCATGCATCACGTGTCAGCATGCATCACGTGTCAGCATGCATCACGTGTCAGCATGCATCACGTGTCAGCATGCATCACATGTCAGCATGCATCACGTGTCAGGTGCATCACGTGTCAGCATGCATCACGTGTCAGTGTGCATCACGTGTTAGTGTGCATCACGTGTCAGCATGCATCACGTGTCAGCATGCATCACGTGTCAGCATGCATCACGTGTCAGCATGCATCACGTGTCAGCATGCATCACATGTCAGCATGCATCACGTGTCAGCATGCATCACGTGTCAGCATGCATCACGTGTCAGTGTGCATCACGTGTTAGTGTGCATCACGTGTCAGCATACATCACGTGTCAGCATGCATCACGTGTCAGCATGCATCACATGTCAGCATGCATCACGTGTCAGCATGGGCGTAGTGGGTTACCTGGTTTGTGTGTCTTAATACTTACATAGGCATATCCTAAGCCATATATATATATATATAGTCACCTTGGAGTTTAGTGAAATGAACACTACCTTTCTTTGCGTTGATTGCAGTAATAGTTTTTGTTCACTTTGCGTTTAAGGTCTTCCACGGGGTTCCTCGTGATTCGTTGAAATTTGGTGTCATCACTAAGGATGTCGTTAATTTTGCTCATGTATTCTTGGATAGGAATCAATACGTATGCTGCTGTCTTGTCGGCTTTTCTTAGTGTTACATCTTTCAGATTTTTTAGTTGTTTGCTGCTTCTTTGATTAAAGCTTCTAGTGATGACACCAAATTTCAACGAATCACAAGATTTTATAATAAGTGTAATACATTCTTCAGTTACTCAATTCTTTTTCTTCACCTTAAAAAGGAACATGACTTTTAGTGACCTCCTCTTCCAGCTGAACCATGATGCAAGAGCACTAGTAAGAGGGATAGAAGCCCTAGATCAGAAAATAGTAAATATATATATATATATATATATATATATATATATATATATATATATATATATATATATATATATATATATATATATATATATATATATATATATGTCGTACCTAATAGCCAGAACTCACTTCTCAGCCTACAATGCATGGCCCGATTTGCCTAATAAGCCAAGTTTTACTAAATTAATATGTTTTCTCTAATTTTTTTCTTATGAAATGATAAAGCTACCCATTTCATTATGTATGAGGTCAATTTTTTTTTATTGGAGTTAAAATTAACGTAGATATATGACCGAACCTAACCAACCCTACCTAACCTTACCTAACCTATCTTTATAGGTTAGGTTAGGTTAGGTAGCCGAAAACGTTAGGTTAGGTTAGGTTAGGTAGGTTAGGTAGTCGAAAAAACATTAATTCATGAAAACTAGGCTTAGTAGGCAAATCGGGCCTTGCATAGTAGGCTGAGAAGTGAGTTCTGGCTACTAGGTACGACATATATATATATATATATATATATATATATATATATATATATATATATGTCGTACCTAGTAGCCAGAACGCACTTCTCGGCCTACTATGCAAGGCCCGATTTGCCTAATAAGCCAAGTTTTCATGAATTAATTGTTTTTCGGCTACCTAACCTACCTAACCTAACCTAACCTAACTTTTTCGGATACCTAACCTAACCTAACCTATAAAGATAGGTTAGGTTAGGTTAGGTAGGGTTGGTTAGGTTCGGTCATATATCTATGTTAATTTTAACTCCAATAAAAAAAGTTGACCTCATACATAATGAAATGGGTAGCTTTATCATTTCATTTCAAAAGAAAAAAATTAGAGAAAATATATTAATTTAGGAAAACTTGGCTTATTAGGCAAATCGGGCCTTGCATAGTAGGCCAAAAAGTGCGTTCTGGCTACTAGGTACGACATATATATATATATATATATATATATATATATATATATATATATATATATATATATATATATATATATATATATATATATATATATATATATATATATATATATATATATATATTAGTATATTTTGGTAGCAGTCTTTCCTGTAGACATATATTATTAAATATGACCGAAAAAGTAAGATTAATAATTCTAACACGAATTTTCTCAATCTTTCGTACATTTCTTTACACTGCTGGTGGTAATTCAAAAATCAATTCTCCAAAATTCATTTTTATTTCTAGTCTGACGCGACACTTGAGCGCGTTTCGTAAAACTTATTACATTTTCAAAGACTTTAGTTTACACATACACAACTGAATAGAACTTACACATCTCCGATTTGTTTATATCTACATTTAAGTGAGGTGGATGGGGTGAGGTGGTATGAACACGAAACAATGGGTATTGAATGGAAGTGATTGTAGAAAGCTTCTACAATCTTTCTACAATCCTTTTCCAATCCTTTCTACAATCCTTTTCTACAATCACTTCCATTCAATACCCATTGTTTCGTGTTCTGTCTTGTGTTGATGAATTTAATACCCTATTAATACCACCTCACCCCATCCACCTCACTCAAATGTAGATATAAACAAATCGGAGATGTGTAAGTTCTATTCAGTTGTGTATGTGTAAACTAAAGTCTTTGAAAATGTAATAAGTTTTACGAAACGCGCTCAAGTGTCGCGTCAGACTAGAAATAAAAATGAATTTTGGAGAATTGATTTTTGAATTACCACCAGCAGTGAAAAGAAATGTACGAAAGATTGAGAAAATTCGTGTTAGAATTATTAATCTTACGATCATTGGTGCAAGTCAAACACTTCTTCGAATTCCTCTGAAGTTGGTCTAGTGCCCAAGACGCAATAGGCATTTCCCCTCTGAATCGCATATATACATTCATACATACATACATACATACATACATACATTCATACATACATACATACATACATACATACATACATACATACATACATACATACATACATACATACATACATACATACATACATATAACAATATGAAAAACTATTAACAGACTGTGGCGGAACGGTGAGGTAGAGCTCCTGGGCCACTACTGTAGCTACAGCGTGACGCCCACAATTCGGCGGTGGCAACTGTACTTCAGGGGCAGGATGTGGTGCCCAGGCTGGACCTCCATCAGGGGGGAAGGTACACATTCTCCATTTATTTTATTACACTTGTAAATGAAACTTAACTATGATATTCCTCTTTTGCCATGAAAATCAGATTGTTTTTATTATTGGTACTTGTGTGATGATTGTGGAATGCAACGATTGCTAAAGATATGTTTTATTATGGAATGAAAAGTGTTCCTTTGCTGCACTGCGAATGCAAAATATATAAGAGTAATGTTATAACAGAAATTAGCATTCTGTAAGCCTAGACAATTTTTTTAATGTATTATGTCTTCGGTTTTTTGGACTTACACAGTATCAATGCAAATAATATTCCTTTTTTGAAACAAGTGACTGCTTATTAGAGCTAGTATTCAAAATTTCTTATAATGCAATAATAAGCTTATTGGGATGTGGGTAATTCTTTGTCTTATAAGCCAATATGATAAAAATACATGATTGGAATATATCCCTTTGGAAATATATAGTCAACCCAGTCTTAAGATATAGGAAGAGTTTAATTTATAAGTTTTTACCTATAAATTAATAATTTTCTTATCTTAAATGTAGTTACATATAATTATATGCAACGATCATATAATTGTACAAAACGTGTTGAATTTGTCCCTTAACTTTGAAAGGTTTAATTTACAGCATTAAAGTATACTGTTTCATATTTACACATGATTGGTTTGGTATTGCAGCGATGACGAGGAGCAATTCAGGAGTGCAGGGAGACACTACAAGGGACTTCGTCACTAAGGCCCTCAATGCCGGCCTCATCAGTCAACAAGAAGCCCAGGCATGGCTTGATGGGTAGACACCAAGACTGGCCGCAACGAGCTCACACGCTCTTGTGCCAACCCGTCCTCTTAAAAATAACGTCACTTTTGGCTGGTATGCGCACTATGGCCAAATTTAGATGTAATTTGAAATGAAATCGACTCGCAAAAGTGACGTACTGTTCCGTTTTCTGTTTAAGTCGTCCGGCCCTCCTTGGACAGCTTAGAAGAGGAACTTTCAATTTACATTTTTCATAACGTTTTGAAACTTTATGAGAATTTCCTGCCCGCCTAACCTATCAGAGGACCCTTAACTTACTGTTGTTGAAAAAAAAAATCCCAAATTTATTTTCAATTTATTTTCATTTTCAAATTACGTCCATATTCGGCCATACGGGCAAACGGCTAAAAGCTACGTTCTTTTTAAGAGGACAGGTTGAGCTCGTGCAGCACCGAGCTCACACGCTCTCGTCCCACACCCAAGCTCATCGACTCCGCCCACATTCAGAGCGCCGCACTGTAAACACTCACCCCACATCGGAGCTCTCTGCTCGCGGCCTCACTCAGCTCTCTGCCCTGCTCCAGGCTTCGTCTCAGCTTCTACAACACTTCAATCAAACCGACTGCTGTAACCAAGACATAAATAAATATAAAAGAACACTCATCTCTGTGTCTTCCACGCTCTGTGGGCGGCAGTGGACCCCCTACCATTCCAACCCTGTGGGCGGCAGTGGACCCCTACCGACCCTGTGGACGGTAGTGGACCCCCTACCATTCCAACCCTGTGGGCGGCAGTGGACCCCTACCGACCCTGTGGACGGTAGTGGACCCCCTACCATTCCAACCCTGTGGGCGGCAGTGGACCCCTACCGACCCTGTGGACGGTAGTGGACCCCCTACCATTCCAACCCTGTGGGCGGTAGTGGACCCCTACCGACCCTGTGGACGGTAGTGGACCCCCTACCATTCCAACCCTGTGGGCGGCAGTGGACCCCCTACCATTCCAACCCTGTGGACGGTAGTGGACCCCCTACTATTCCAACCCTGTGGACCCCCTACCATTCCAACCCTGTGGGCGGCAGTGGACCCCTACCGACCCTGTGGACGGTAGTGGACCCCCTACCATTCCAACCCTGTGGGCGGTAGTGGACCCCTACCGACCCTGTGGACGGTAGTGGACCCCTACCGACCCTGTGGACGGTAGTGGACCCCCTACCATTCCAACCCTGTGGGCGGCAGTGGACCCCCTACCATTCCAACCCTGTGGACGGTAGTGGACCCCCTACTATTCCAACCCTGTGGACGGTAGTGGACCCCCTACCATTCCAACCCTGTGGGCGGTAGTGGACCCCTACCGACCCTGTGGACGGTAGTGGACCCCCTACCATTCCAACCCTGTGGGCGGTAGTGGACCCCTACCGACCCTGTGGACGGTAGTGGACCCCCTACCATTCCAACCCTGTGGGCGGTAGTGGACCCCTACCGACCCTGTGGACGGTAGTGGTCGCCCTACCGACCCTGTGGGCGGTAGTGGACCCCCTACCGACCCTGTGGACCCCATATCGACCCTGTGGACGGTAGTGGACCCCCTACCGACCCTGTGGGCGGCAGTGGACCCCCCTACCAACCCTTTGGGCGGCAGTGGACCCCTACCAACCCTGTGGGTGGTAGTGGACCCCTACCGACCCTTGGACGGTAGTTGATGCCCTACCGACCTTGTGGGCGGTCGTGGACCCCATACCGACCCTGTGGGTGGCAGTGGACCCCATACCGACCCTGTGGGCGGCAGTTGACCCTCTACCAACCCTGTGGGCGGCAGTGGACCCCCTACCAACCCTGTGGGCGGCAGTGGACCCCCTACCAACCCTGTGGGTGGTAGTGGACCCCTACCGACCCTTGGACGGTAGTTGATGCCCTACCGACCTTGTGGGCGGTCGTGGACCCCATACCGACCCTGTGGGTGGCAGTGGACCCCATACCGACCCTGTGGGCGGGTGTGAACCCCCTACCGATCCTGTGGGCGGCAGTTGACCCCCTACCAACCCTGTGGGCGGTAGTGGACCCCCTACCGACCCTGTGGGCGGCAGTGGACTCTATATACTAATCCTGTGGGCGATACTGGACCCTATACTCATCCTGTGGGTGGCAATGGACGCCATACACATCCAGTGGGTGTTATTTATTTATATATATACAAGAAGGTACATTGGGTTTGTGAGAATACATTGGATAGTACAGTATTTACATTCTTGTAAAGCCACTAGTACGCGCAGCGTTTCGGCAGGTCCTTAATCTAGCAGATAATTTTAAGTAGGTAATTTCAATCAGAATTGATAAATGATAAAGATACATTACAAGAGAAAAATGAGATGAGAGAGATAAGTAAGTATATTAAAGCACATTGTTATTGGACCCCATATTTTTTCTGTGGGTGGTTGGAGCCCCATACCCATCCTGTGGGTGATAGTGGACGCCATACTCATCCTGTGGATGGTATTAAACCCCATACCCATCCTGTGGGTGGTTGTGACCCCCATATGCATCCTGTGGGTGGTAGTGGACGCCATACACATCCGGTGGATGGTATTGGACCCCGTACCCTTCCTGTGGGTGGAAGTGATCGCTATACCCATCCTGTGGGTGGATGTGACCCCCATACCTATCCTGCGGGTGGTATTGGACCCCTTACCCACCTAACAGGTGGTATTGGACCCTATACCCATCCAATATTTAATATAGTAGACACCATACCATGCTGTTTGCAGTAGTTTACCCCATAAACATTCCAACGTAATATCGTTTTCTGTTAGCGTTCCTACAAAACATTCTTTAAAGATTTTTAAAGCACAAACTATGGTATAAAATATTGATTGGTGAAGCACTGTTATTCTATGTAATAATTTATAGTGCTTATTATAATTTACTAAGAACAACTAATATTTCTCAAAACAAAACTACGAGTCTTCAATAGGATATAGCTGATCTGTAATATTATAAGAGCATGGACAATAGAAGGTAAATTTCACAACCCATGTGGGACATGAAAACTACAATTTTCATTATAATTGAACCAATCACGACTATTATGCTATCTACGTTGATGGACGGGTACTGTGAGACGTAAATTGGTACGTGAGGAAGAGTTTGGGCCTTGGTAAAAAAGGTAACTGGGAATATATCACATATGTACTAAATCACATTCAACATATTGACTTTAAGCATTAAGTCATATATGTGCTGTCTTGTGTGAGAACGGGTTGCAACTAGAATGCGTATTTTTAATCAAATCTAACATAACTAGCCAGAAAACGTTAAAGATTTGTAACGGTTCTATTGTTACGTAAAGTATGGTGACAAATAAACACAGACACTAAGATACTATATATATATTTGGTCGAATATACAGAAGTACACAGGTGATACGTTGGTGTGAGTTGAGCGCACTGAGCGTTGGTACAGTATCTCGCAAGTGTCTGCTCTAGACCACACTTGAAAGTAGACTCTGGTTAATGTTTGATTGATTGATGAAGATTAAGCCACCCAAGAGGTGGCACGGCATGAATAGCCCGTAAGTGGTGGCCCTTTCGAGCCATTACCAGTATCAAAAGATGATACTGGAGATCTGTGGAGGCGCAACTGCACCTTGCGTGACGGGAGATATCTCCCGGACCAAGTGGTGACCAAATGGTCGGTTAATGTTTGCTATCCTGCTGCTTATATGCCCGGGCAACGCCTCACGTACCTTGTTGTCCGGGCAACGCCTCACCTCATTCATCTCCAAAGGTTGACAGGAATATTAACAAAGCATTTGGAGCGAGTATATTATTGGGATAATCTACTCGCTACAGAACTCCCCCTCCCAGGGGATGAAAGGAAAAATACTTGATCAAGGAACTTAGCTGGTCGGTGAATTGTACGCCCTGCTCGCGTCCCATAACCATCAAAGTTAACTTCCTCCTCTTCGCTGATGTCATCTAACTGGGGTCGTAGGGTGGGAGGTCGCACAGGATCGTCCGTCGTCGTAGGATCAGGTTGTGGTGCGGCTGATAACTGGGGTTGTAGGGTGGGAGGTTGTACAGGATCATCCGTTGTCGTAGGTGGCGGCGCTGCTGGTAACTGTGGTCGAAAAGTGAACTGCGTAGTCGGCGGATGTGTCTCTGGATTTAGCAGTGTCGCAGACGTTTGAGACGAAGCCTGGAGCAGAGCAGAGAGCTGAGTGAGGCCGGAGTCGTGGAGCTCTATGTGGGAGAGCGTGGCGGCTCGATTGAGAATTGTGAGTGTCTAAACTCGGGGAGCGAGAGCGTGGCGGCTCGATGCGGTCGTAGTCTGCTGTCTGCTCTGTGTCGAAGCTGTAGCGTCTTGGGTTGATTAGGACTGTACACGCTGAGTACTACATTGTTGACTGTGGAAATTGTAGTCTGGTACTAAAAGATGTAGGCAGTGTGTGGACAAGCTCGGTGTAGCAGGAGAGAAGAATGTGCATAATTGTTGCGTCCTCGGGTCGCTGGTGGAGCATTTAGATCCGGGGCGGATGGGCTCGGGCACCAGGACATTAGGAGGTAATGTAGGCACGTAATTAGGACAACGAGGTAATCACATCTAGAGCTGAATTGTCCTGAAGGCGACGAAGTGTCGGAAACGCAAGCTGTAAGTCCTGTACTGCGCAAAGGGCTTGAGTCGGCCGAGTATCAAACTGCAGTGAACGTGTAGATGAATCTGATGACAGAGCAGCTGTCGTGGGCGTAGGACAAGCAGTGCCCTGGCAGCGACGGAGAGTCGGCAGGACAAGCTGTAGATCCAACATGATGTAATCATTGATGAGGCTGTCAGATGAGTGAGTAACGATCGTGGAGCAGCAAGCCGTAGTAGATGAAAATGCAGAGATGGACGCGATGAAAATCATAGCTGTGGCAAGGGTGTTGGCAACGTTCCATGACAGGTGGCTGCGGTCCACAGCAAGCAGCAGCAGTGGAGGTCCAGTGAGAGTCCATGTTGTAGTCCATCGTGGCTGGGTATCGTCGAAACTCTCTGGGGTCACCAATGTAACGGTTCTATTGTTACGTAAAGTATGGTGACAAATAAACA